CGATGGACATGATTGCTGCCAAAAGAAGAAGAGAGTCATCAGGGGAGATATGTGATCTCATTGCCGATCTACCTGCTGTACCACTGGAAGAAGACGTCGGCAAATTTGACCAAAGTGATTCGGAAGATGAAGACGACCAAGGCGTTCGGTATCGCCTGACAGTCAAGCCTTCCAAAGCCAGACGCATCACCCAACGGCAGCGCGCTGGGCAAAAGGCTCTGGAGGATTTTGCAAGACAGTCTCAAGAAAACGCCTTAGCGAGTTCTAGAAAGAGGAAGAATCATGATGACAAACCCGATCGAGAATACCAGATAGTTCTTTCCGAAAGGGCTAAGGAGAAAAACATCATCGTCGTTTTGCCTACAGGTAATCAATCCCCTCTTCTATGAAACGGTGACAGACTGCTAACAGATGCAGGTTGCGGCAAAACCAGGATCGCTGCTAACTTGCTCGTACATTGCCTTCGAAAAGAAGTAGAATCTCGCAGCGTCGGTAACCCCAAGAAAGTGGCATTCTTCTTAGTGGAAAAGGTTGCCCTTTGTGAGCAGCAATATCACGCTCTTGAGAGCTCCGTGGGAGGCCATCCGATCGGGATATTTACAGGCCACTCCAAGGGCGTGAAAAAGGCCAAGAGCTACTGGGACACTCAATTCAAAGACAATGCCGTCGTGCTCTGTACTGCCCACATCCTACTCGACTGTCTCAACAACGCCTTCATTACCATGGACCGCATCCATCTCCTCGTTTTTGACGAAGCGCATCATGCAAAGAAGAAACACGATTACGCGGAGATTATGAGAAGATACTATTTCACTACTCACAAGAGCGAAAGGCCTCGAGTTCTCGGATTGACCGCATCCCCTGTGGATTCCAAGACTACTGACGTAAAAGAATTCGCCCGTGAACTTGAAAGAACCTTGGACAGCGAGATTGCAACACTTTCCGACAAGATGCTCATGGAAGTAATGGGATTACAAGTGCTAGTTGAAGAAACAGTCAGGTACGACACTCTTGAGTTACCAGAGGAGACAAAGACGCCGCTCTGGGATTCAATCTCTAGACTCGTGTCTCGAAATGAAGCATTTGAAGCACCTCTCAACTTTGCGAAAGAAGCATCATCGACTCTTGGCCCATGGTGTGCCGACCGGTATTGGCAGCTTTCGATCACTGAAGACGAGACAAAACGGCTTAGCGATAGGACCAAAGCGGCTTTTGTTGGTAATACAGAGCACGTGTTGGCAAGACTGGATAAAGCAAGAGATGCTGTTCAGCAGGTCCGAGAGGTTGTTGCAGCCCACAAGTTTGATACAGTTACCCCTGGATCCAAGGATTTATCTTCCAAGGTGAAATGTCTGCATGAAATTCTGGTTCATGCCTTCACAACCGATAATGCGACACGCTGCATTGTTTTTGTTGACCAAAGACACACAGCCTGCTTGCTTGCGGACCTTTATAACCAGGCGTCAATGGCGATCCCAGGGATGACTGCCGGGTATATGGTGAGTCCTAGGTCCCTGCTCCTAATCATATATTAACCATGATAGATTGGATACAAAGGGGGGAGTGGCCACATTGGTAATATGTCTCTTCAAAAGCAAACTACGGCGCTCGGTAATTTCACGGAAAACAGGATCAACTGCCTTTTTGCAACGTCAGTGGCAGAAGAGGGAATTGATGTACCCGAATGCGGGCTTTGTGTTCGATTCGACCTCTACAGCTCAGTCATTCAGTATGTACAGTCCAAAGGACGCGCCAGGTTGAAACATTCGCGGTTCATCACAATGTTGGAGGATGGCAATATGAAGCAAGTCCGCGTTATAAAGCAAGCATTGAGAGATGTAACAGCTGTCCAAAAGTTTTGTCTTGCACAACCTGAAGACCGCAAGGTACAAGACGAGACATGGGTTGAAGGGATGGAGGAACAGATCGAACGGATGAGCTACCATGTGTACGAAACCAACGCAGGAGGGCGTCTCACGTTCCCTTCTAGCCTCGAACTGCTGTCCAGATTCGCTGCGACCTTACATACAGGTGATGGTTTAAACGCCAAATCCGAGTATCATGTCTACAAGGCGAGGACACATTATATCGCCACTGTTCACCTCCCGCAAAACTCTCCTCTCGTCTCTCAGACAGGTTACCCACAGCGTAGCAAGATTCTGGCCAAGTGTTCTGCGGCTTTCGAAGCCTGCAAGAAACTCATTGCGGGGAAACATATCGATGAGCATCTTCAGCCCAAGTTCATAAAACAAGCCCACAAAATGCGTAATGCTCGGGTGGGAATTAGCCCGAACAAGAAGGCTGAGCATGATATGCGTGTAAGGCCCAACATCTGGAGTTCTTTGGGAGAATGGACGAATTTTTACCCGACAACGATTACTCTCAACATGAAATCTGGACAAGAAAGAGAAAGCAGACCATTGATCCTTCTTTCTCGCAAAGCTCTTCCACAGTTACCTCCAGTTCCCTTGTTCTTCGGTAACGGACGGTCAGGTGTCGCTGAGCTGTCATGCTCCCAAGGCCCTCTCAGTATAACCGAACAACAGGCCGAAGGACTGGCTGCTTTCACACTCAAGATCTTTCATGATGTTTTCAGCAAAAAGTTTGAAGCAACTTGCGAACAACTCCCCTATCTTCTCGCACCTTCGGCAAAAGACAGCCACGAAGCATCACAAATCGATTGGGATACAATCCACCTTGTCAAAGAGAAAGAGTTTCTCGACTGGAATAATGCACCAGATGATTTTTTTGTCGACAAGTTTGTAGTTGATCTCTATGATGGAGGGCGCAAACTTATCCTCAAAGGTATCGACAAGACCAAGAAGCCCTCTGATCCTACACCAGAGTGTGTACCCGAGCCGAGATGCCGTGCTTATAGGTCTGTGGAACCAACTATCAAGGAATACAGCAACAGTTATTTTGGTAAGTCCCGAAAAACGCGAGTATGGAGCGATGACCAGCCTGTCGTCAGAGCACAGCTCCTCTCACTACGACGAAATCTGCTGGATGAATTTCAGGTCGATGAGGAAGTTAACAAAGACTGCTTCGTCATTCTGGAGCCGCTCAACGTGTCACCCGTAAGTAATATCCTAACTTCAAAACTTGTCTAACATTCCTAGCTACCGCTCGACGTCGCTTTTATGGCACTCAAGTTCCCGGCAATTATTCACAGAATAGATTCCGCTCTAATCGCTCTCGATGCGTGTGAAGTCTTCGAACTCTCCATCCCACCTGCGCTAGCTCTCGAAGCAATGACCAAGGATAGCGACAACACTGATGAGCATGACAAGCAACAGATTAACTTCCAAGCCGGTATGGGTTCCAACTACGAAAGGCTGGAATTCCTCGGGGACTCTTTTCTCAAGATGGCCACCACAATCGCTATCTTTACACAAAAGCCCAAAGGCGACGAATGCCTATACCACGTTGAGCGCATGTTACTCATTTGCAATCAGAACCTTTTCAACACTGCCGTCGACTGCAAACTCCCAGAGTATATTCGATCTCTGGCATTCGATAGACGAACCTGGTACCCCGATCTCACACTGATCCAAGGCAAGGCTCTGAAAGCAAAGAAAAAACAAAGCCTGGCCGACAAAACTATCGCAGATGTTTGTGAGGCTCTCATTGGTGCTGCGTATCTCTCGAGCAAGGATGACAAGATGAACATGGCTGTCAAAGCTGTGACACAGATGGCCCGATCGAAGCATCACTCAATGGTGGCCTTTGACGACTACTATGCCGCGTTCAAGGTTCCAGATTGGCAGAAGGCTAATTCAAACGCCAACCAACGGAGACTGGTGCAGAAGGTAGAAGAAGCCATCGGGTACCATTTCAAATCGGCGCCGTTGCTCGAAAGTGCGTTCACTCATCCGTCTTACACTTATTCCGGGAGCGTGCCACATTACCAACGCCTCGAGTTTCTGGGAGATGCCCTCCTTGATATGGCTATTGTCGAGTACCTATACATGAACTTTCCACTTGCGGATCCCCAGTGGTTGACTGAGCACAAAATGGCGATGGTATCCAACCATTTCTTGGGTTGTCTCTGCGTCAAGCTCAACCTACACCACCACCTTCTAGCCAACTACGCGATTTTCAGCAGCGGGATTCGAGATTATGTGATCGAACTTGAGGCAGCTGAAGAGGAGGCTCGCAAAGAAGCAGAACAAGAAGGAATTTCCATGCGCATGGACTTTTGGCGCAACATCAAACCGCCACCCAAGGCATACGCAGACTCGGTTGAGGCACTAGTCGGTGCCATGTTTGTGGACTCTAAATTCGACTATTCTGTCGTTGAGGATTTCTTTACCAAGTACATTGTCCCATACTTCGAAGACATGTCCCTCTACGATACCTTTGCAAACAAACACCCTGTTACGATTCTTACCAAGATTATGCAACAGCAGGTTGGTTGCAAAGCGTGGTCTGTGGCGTCAAAGATGAAGGTTCCGGATGCTGAACGGGGCATGGACGTTGCCACCGAGGATGATGTTATGAGTGCTTTCGTAGCACATGAACGGGTTATCACAAGCCATGTTTCCACCAGTGGGTGGTCTGGCAAGATGAAGGCTGCGGAGCTAGCAATCGAACTGATCGAGTCCTTTGGTGGAGATATGGAAGCGGCGAGGAAGCGTCTGGGCTGCAACTGTGATATTCGTGTTGATGATGTGGAGATTGACCATGGGACGGCTGTGTAAAGGCTGCTAGGACCGCCGTGATGATTAATAGGGATATTTGGGGACAGGACCGCAGCGCATGTGTTGTTATTAGAGCGACGTACAAAGTGGAGGGTATTGTTTGTTGGTGTACAGAAGAGTTTTGTACACTCATGCAGCGTTGAATGATCAATTATTTCTGTTGGTACAATCGAATATCGGCGCAGAGGATGCTTGGTCGTGTTTTCGATGTTGTTGGAGTTGAGCTTGATGTTTCTAAGCGTCCCCGCTTAAAGAGAACATAGAGCGTAATTACGCTTGTAGCGTATAACAATTAAGCTAGCCCTCTTGGCCAAGTGGTAAGGCGTCGCACTCGTATGGCGTAAGCCAGAAATGACATGCGAAGATCACTGGTTCGATTCCAGTACGGGGCATTCAATTTACTTTTGCTATGTTACATTACTTTTTGCGAATTGTTTTGGAGTTCGTGATGATTGCATGGCGTTGAGAATGATACATGCATTTTTGCTGGTGCCTGCCACGTGATGGTGCAGTTTGGGTGCGGAAGGAGTCTCGTCGCCGTGGTGCCTTCCAGACTTGATGATGTGGTAGGAGGACTTGATCTACCCGTGTACCTTCCTGCGTTCTACAGGATTCTAATCTATGAACTCTCAACAAACAATGCTTCAACTAGTCTGGCCTGGGTTTGTCAGGATATTAGCTCAGACCATAAGCCTTTCGCAGCTATACTCGATGAACCATGGTAAGTTAATTCTGGTCGTTTTAAAACAGATGCTAATTTACAACAACAAGCGCTATCGAGAAGCAGTTGTGCCCTCTTAAGGGATCCGAAGCTACTCTGATGAAATTAGTCCCTTGAGATTTCTCGCCCATAGTAGCAGCAGCAGCAGCAGCAACACCGACCCCAATCACTCCTTTCGAACGACCTCTCACGGCGCGAATGGAACGTCGACACCAACAGCTTGTTTGCGCTTGAGGCGATCCTTGGGATAACCAGGGACTTATGAAGAGGGCACAACTGCCCTTTTGCATGATGGTGATGCTTGGGAGCCTCTCCGGACATCATACAGATACGTAACAGCAATAGCAGCAGTAACAACGATGACAGCAGCTATAACGCCCTTCTACCTTCCTTGCTACCCTGCCGGCGTAGTACTATCTGAAAGTCTCTTCAGCACGGATGGAACGTCGTTACCAACAGCTTGTTTGCGCTTGAGGCGACCATCAAGTTAAAGCCGGGGCCCGTGAAGAGGGCACAACTGCCTTTGTGATGCTTCGGGCAGCCTCTCCAGGGATGTCGCAGATAACAACAGCAGCAGCAACAACAACAACAACAACAACACTAGAAGCGGCCACAGCAACGCAGCAGCAGGAGTAACGACGTACTTCTACCTTCCTTGCTACCTGTCTCGAACAAACTCTCGCGGTCCGGCCTGAGCTACTTGGAAATCTCTCTTCACACGAGTAAAACGTCGACATGAACAACTTTGTTTGCGGTCGGGGCGATCATCAAAATAGTCAGGCCCATGAAGAGGGCACAACTGCCTTGCGAGTGACGATGAAGCTTGTGACCCATCACGCAGATAGCAACAGTTACAGCAACAACGGCGACTAATCCCCGGATACAACTACATATCCTATCGAATCCAGGCACCTACACCCAAGCAACACCAGCAGCAACAGCAACGGTGAAAGCAGCAGCAGCGCTCTTCTCCCTTCCTTGCCATCTGCCTCAAACAACCTCTCGCAGTTCGGTGACCTGCTTGGAAAAGCTTCTTCGACAGCTCCGGTCGACGCTCTTCTCCCTTCCTTGCTGCTATGAGAAAAAGGACGGTTTCTACGAGAACATCCCAGACACAGTCGCCGACTAAAAGACGCTTCGTGTCCCGGCCTATGGAAGCGTTGCGGCTGCCGCTTTTGCGGTAACACTTTCTCCGACTCAAATCATCTCCGCAGACATTGGCTGCGTTGAAACAAGGGAGCAGATATAAAGCTTTGTGCCCTGCCCGGGCAACGAAACGACGTTGGCCACGACAGCTTATTAGACGAGATTGGTGGGCTAACCTTTCCTACGGCCTAAAGTTTAGAAGTCTGTGTTCAATAAACCCCGATCAGACAATCACGATGTTGTCTCCCAAAGTCGCACTATGTGTGCATTCAGTCGAAGAAAAAAGAAAAAGTTCCGTATTGGTATCGAGAGTACTATAACCCATCATGTACGAAATCCCACCCATCCTGAAAATGCTGCCGTCGGAGACATCCTATCCAACCGATCATACGCCAAAATACATTATACAAAGAAAATCCTGACAGGTGTCGTATCCAATCCATAACTCCAATCGCTTTCATATCTCATTCAATGGTCCTCGACATCTGCCGCACAAGCTTCCTCCTCTTCCTTCTGTCGTTGCTTCTTAGCCTTGATCGCCTTCCTAAGTTTTATAGCAGTCTGCATGTCCACCTTGGCATCATCGGCTTCAGTTAGGCCAAACTGGTCCCAGCCCAGTTCACGAATATCGATACCGAGATCGGCAAGCGAGACGAAGCCGGGTACTGTGGGGGCAGAAGGTATTTCGTCCTCCCAATCAGAGTCAGAGTCTTGATCGTTGGAGGCTTTGGTGTGGCGGGGTGTATTAGTACTCCTGCGACTCTGTCGTGATCTTTGTTGAGATCGGTTAGGCGTCGACTTGCTGCTTCGTGTGCTGGGACGACGATTGCTCTTTGTACTTATTGGACTCTTTGGTGTCTTAGGGCGTTTAGCGACAACAGGCTCGACAGGTATCTCGGGAAGGGAAGGAGGCTCGACAGAAGCCTTGAGGATAGGCACAGGTTCGAAAAGACCTGGTAGACCCGCGCCAGTTCCATAGGCGTCTTTCATTAAAAGACCCTCTTCGTTACGACGCTTCTCCTTCCACGCGACAAAGGAGTCTACTGAATCCTCGCTTGCATCAGAAAGGTAAAGATCCAGATTGGTACCTTCACCAAAAGGGTGACCAAGATCCCGCTCGATCTCTCTTCGCGAAGGAACCAGTGTATCGGAAAACTCGTCATCGCCTGCGTTGTAGTAGCTGGTTTCTTCTACTGGTTTGTTCTGTTCAGGCTCTGAATGCAATTTGATTGACGGGGGAAGAGATGCGTCAATCGATGTGCTTGGGGTGTGGTGGCCCACGGATCTAGGGAAGGGATTGCTGGAGAAACCAGAAGACATTGTTGATGGTGTGACGCATGGTTGCGCCTTAAATAGGGATGATGTTCGCACAGGGATGTGCTCGTTGATGTCGTCGAGACGCTGGCTGCGGACGCTGGTCATGGTGCGAGATCGATTAAATGACTTGTCCATGGACGAAGCACTAGTTGGGCGTGAAAAGTGAGGCATCTCGTTCAGAGACATACCTAAACCTCCATGGTATGATTCTGGGCGTTGATTGTGCGTGTTATGGTGGCCAAGTTCATAGCTTGGTTCGAGGTATGAGGTGGACCGGTGCTCCGAAAGTCTAAACCGTGATGGTACAGTTGGGAAAGGCGCAGAGTCTTCATCGTCCTCTTCAACAGGTTCAATATCGACATGGCCAAAACTCCTACCTCGACTTCGACCTTCGCTTGTCCTTGGCCTTGATCGTTGTACTGGCGGGGGTGATGCTGACGGTGGTGACAATTGTGGTGGCAACAGAGTTGGAGGTGATGGTGGTCTGTCATAGGAGAAGCTGGAGATTGAAGGGTGTAAGCTGAGAGGTCTTGGTTTGCGACTCTTTTCCTCTTCTTCTTGAGGAGAAGCGAAAGCGTTGAATGATCTTCTGCGGTCTGCCTTGGATAATGTTGGTGCTTTGAGACTCGTGAGGCTCGCTTTGGTGGGAGACTCGGATCGTTTTTCACGAAGACGCGATTTGCTGGTTCTTAACAAATCGTTGCCAATTGGACCAGAGTAAGATCTCCTCCAAACTGATGAATTAGACTTGGACCATTTATCCCGTTTTGTGCCGGAGTCACCATGGGGGACACCAGGATAAGGGGCGCAATCATCATCATCATCCTCTTCGTATTCACGGTCGTTAGTGGGCAACTCTAGATGACCACTACCGGAGAGTCGGTAGTAGGCCTGTGTGGCGGCGCTATTAAGGTTCAAGCCGTTATCGCCCAGATTTCTCTCGGCAACGTCTTCATCGTACTCGCGCGCACCGGTAGCCGACAGCCGTGAGCGGAAGTTTGGATGCGAAAATTCTCCCTGTGCATCAAGAACATCGATAAAGGAATGGCGCTTGTCCTGAAATGAATCGATTGAACTTTCTCGACGGTGGTGGGTTGGAATGGAGGGTACTGGAGGTGGTTTATCTGTGCGACCTCTTGAGGGTTTCTCGGGAACACTCCAAGCTGAGTTTGAGCTTCGAATACTGCGTGAAAGAGAAAGTGGCCGCGAGGCTGAAGGGTTGGCTTGGTTGGGTGCCGTTGTTGGTCTCGATTGGCCGTAAAATCGAGGGACCATGGGAGGAGGTGCTATAGCATCATGGCCATAATCATCTCGTGATACCGTTGACAATTGCGCTTGGCTGCGTTTTCTGGCGGCTCGCTGCAGTTGATCCAAAACGTTGGGGCCATTACCAGAGACTGGATATGTTCCTAGATCCTTGTTAGCAATTGTCTTGGTAATCTGCATGTCGCGTATACCTTGAATTGGTGGTATCGAAGCTATAGTCGCATTGTATGATTGACCCTTGACTGAAGCCCTCTTCGCATTCGATTTGCGGGCAAAAAGGTTGCTGAAGAAGCCCATGATGATAGCCGTTACCCTGCCATGCAGGTCGGCATCAAGAGAGGTGGCCGCTGGTTAAGAATGAATACCAGCAATGAAGAGAAATTAGAGCTGAGTCTCAAGGAGCATTCGCGAGCATTCCGACCTGAAATAAAAAGTAAGAGGGGAGACCCAAGAAAAAAGGAAGGTACGAAGGCGTATTTTAGTAGAAACAGAAGGTGAGAAGAGGGAGAGAAAAGAAACGAAAACAGATGGGACGTCACAATCTTTGGACTAATGCAAGCCAAACGATTGATTGAACGGGGACCAGATCCAGATTTTTGGGATCTGGGGGGGTAGTCGTTAGACTTTAAAAGATGAATGGCGAAGGCGACGGCGTCTGATGGAGAGGAGAGTCATAGCATTTGATTTGGAGCTGCTATCCCTGGTTAGAGAATCTTCCGTGCAAGCTTCCACTTAACAAGATCCTTGACCGAAAACAGACAAGACACTTGGTTAAGAACAGGGGTACAGGAAACTAACAATGACGCCAACCGAGTAAAGAGGAGACGAGATGGACCCGCGCTTAGATGCGAATGGGGATACTAAACATGGGCTAAAAAGGAGTCGGACCCAGCCCAAGCTAGAAGAAAGTGACAGGCCACGGTCTATCTGTGCGTTAGTTTT